ATGATTTCATTCCGTAGCTTCCATAACGACCAAAGCACTGCCAGTGGAATTATCTTCCAAATTACCTTCAATCTGTTTTTGCATCTAAACCCAGCCCACCATTGAATAAGACCCACCACTGACCCTGGCTGTACCCATGATACGCCCCACCATCCAATAATATTAGACCAAACTCTCCAACTAAATGAACAACACAGCAGCACATGGGATACAGTTTCCCTTTCCTTTCTGCAGAATACACAATTAACATCAGAGTTGGGACTTAGGATTCCAATTCTTTGCAGATATTTAGAAGTCTTGATCCTTCCTTTCCATGCTAGCCAAGCAAAAAATTGCGCTTTCGGAGGTGCTGCATTCTTCCAAATGAGCTCCACCACTTGTGCAGGCATGGTAGTTGTTAACTCACTCCACTTGTAGGCAGACGAAACAGTAAATATTCCAAATCTGTCCGCAGCCCAAGACAACCCATCTACCACCCCATACCTGAGCTCTGGAGCAGTTTGTAACAACTCCTTCATTTTCCTCAATTCTTCAACTTCCCATTGAAACAGTGCTCTTCTGATAGACAAGTCCCACTCCCTACTACCAGTACTCGTACTCTTAATCACTGCCACTGATACACCTTGCTGCATAGACACAGAGTATAATCTAGGGAATAGGTTCTTTAAACAGTCACCACCAACCCATTGATCCAGCCAAAAACTTATGAGCCTCCCATCCCCAATGGTGATCTTTGAGTTGGCCTTAAGTACCTCCAGCAGCTGTGGACACTTAAGATCCACCTTCAAAATGTCCCTCCATACCATAGAATATCTGGAATTTACATCTTGAGCTGGCCACCTAGATCCACCATTATGTGGGTACTTGCTGATAATCACTTGTTTCCAAATAGATTCAGATTCACTCCCAAACCTCCACCACCATTTGAGAAGAAGACATTCATTCATGGTTCTCACCTTTCTAATACCTAGACCCCCGTTACTCTTGCTTTGAGTAATTTCTTCCCATTTTACCATATGTATTTTCCTTCTAAGTTCATCACCCCCCCACAAAAATCTGGACTGAATTTTATCAATTTCTTTGGCTACCCCTTCAGGCATTCTAAACAAGGATAAATAAAACACTGGTAGTGAAGATAGCACAGACTTGATCATTGTCAACCGACCAGCGAAGGAAAGAAGCCTACGCTTCCATGAAGCAAGCTTTGATTTGAATTGATCGATGACAGGTTGCCAAGACCTTCTCCTCCTTGGATTAGCCCCCAATGGCATCCCTAAATACTTCAAAGGTAGTTTGTGATGAAGACAATTCAGTATGGCAACAAAATCTTTGGTAAGGTCTTCATTAATACCAACACCACTCACTACACTTTTGTGATAGTTTATCTTCAACCCATACAAGATTTCAAAACATCTCAGTATTCTTTTGATATTAAGCACCTCCTCCCTCCTTGCCTCACAAAACAAGATTGTGTCATCAGCAAATTGTAGGTGGGTAATAGTAAGATCATTAGAACCAACTGATGCACCTTTGATTAGTCCAGCCTGGACAGCTCTATGCAACAGAATATTAAGACCCTCAGCTACAATGTTAAATAGAAAGGGGGATAAAGGATCACCTTGTCTGAGACCCCTTTGAGGACTAAACTCAGCTGTAGGTGATCCATTCACCATAATAGAGATTTTGGTAGTTGAGACACATTCCTTCATCCATCTGATCCATTTTGCACCAAAACCAAAATTTGATAACATGGAGAATAGAAACCCCCAATTTATTGAATCATATGCTTTCTCGAAGTCAAGCTTTAATACAACACCTTTCTTTTGCTTCTTCTTCCAATCATCAACAATCTCATTAGCAATCAGAATACCATCAAGGATGCTTCTACCCCCTATAAAAGCTGATTGAGACTCACTAATGATCCTTGGTAAAACAGTTTTGAGTCTACTAGATAACACTTTGGAGAGCACTTTGTACAATGATCCAATAAGACTGATTGGCCTAAAATCACTGAGAGAATAAGGATTTTCATTCTTAGGAATCAAGGCAACAAAGGAGCTATTAATACCAAAGGCCAGCTTAGAGTTAGTATGAAACTCACTCATGAACTTCATCACATCCCCTTTAATTATATGCCAACATTTCTGGAAGATCAAAAGGTTAAATCCATCCGGGCCAAGGGCCTTATTCCCATTACAACTCTTAATAGCTGCCATAACTTCATATTCTGTGAACTCAGCTTCCAAAGCAACACACTCCTCTTCTTCCCCAATAGACTTAAAAGGACCATTTAAACTTGGCCTATCAAACCATGATTCTGAAAACTGCCTCTGAAAGTGATTGAGCACTTCTGTTCTAATTTCCTTAGGATCTTCAGTGAAGACCCCATTAACCTCAATTGAGCAAAGTGCATTCCGATTCCTTCTCATGGAGGCCATGATATGGAAAAATTTAGTATTTCTATCGCCTTTTAGTGACCAGTTAGCTCTAGACTTTTGCAACCATACCCATTCAACCATTTTACTCAAATTCCATGCTTCGCCTTTTAACTCCCTAAATTTAGATCTCTCTGCCTCAGTGAGTACTCTTTGCTCCGCTAACAAATCCAAGGTATGTATCTCCTCGTCCAGTTGCTTTAGCTTTGAATCCACCTTACCAAACACCTCCAGGTTCCATCTTTTCAATGCTGCTTTAAGTAATCTCTATTTCTGTAGGCATTTGAATCCAGCCCAACCACTGACATGAGAGTCAGCCCAAACTTTCTGCACAAAGTTCTTAAACTTCGGATGAAGACACCAGGCATTTAGAGACCTAAAAGGCTTTGGACCCCAGTCTCTTTCATCTTCCATCATTAAAATAGGACAATGATCCGAGAGCCTTCTTGGTAAACCCCACAGTTTAAAATTAAATTTTTGCAACCGATCTGGGCTGAGTAAAAATCTGTCCAGCCTGCTCCATTTGACACCATTCTGAGAATTACACCAAGTAAACTTTCTCCCCAACATTGGTAAGTCACACACTTCCAGGTTTTCGATTAGCTCGTTAAAATCCTTCATACCACCACATCTTTGGGAACAACCGATCCTCTCAGAATAAAACCGAATCGCATTAAAATCACCCCCCAAGCACCAAGGGTTAATAAAATTTCTCTTTAAATTCTTCAAAGTTTCCCATAGTCCCTTCCTCTTAGCACCATCGGTCGGGCCATAGACATTGACAATAACACAAGCTAGACTAGAAAATAGAGTGCCAGACAAAATGATAAAATACCTGTTACAGCAACAGTCCAGCATTTGAAAAGCTTGTGGATTCCAGACACACAGTAGTCCACCAGCTGCACCCTCTGAGTCCACCGCCATATACTCCATCTGATCCCTAGGCCAACAAGATCTGACAAATTCCTCAGTTATAGCAGGTCTCTTAGTTTCCTGAAACAGTGCCACATCCACCTTCCTTTCGAAGAGAAGTTTTTTGATTTTTCTCCTTTTCATGGGCTTGCCTAGCCCTCTAACATTCCAAGATAAGACCTTCATTAACACAAATTTGCACACCAAAAGCTCCACGGCAGATACATATTATTCTGCCTTACTGCCCCTTTTACCCAGCACCTCCTTATCCTTAACTTCCAGTTCCATCAATTTGCTAATTACTTCTTCATCCTTACCTTTACATTTCAGCCCAAGCAGCTTCCCTATCTTCAGAGATGCTTCTGCCTCATTAAGAAGCAACTGGCTAGAGACTGATTTGCTTGCCATGGACAATGAAATAGCTGCAGCTGCCGACCGAAAAATAGCTCCCTTCCTGAAATTCAACACTGATCCAACCCCTATTTGTATGTTTCCTTTTTTCTTCCTCTGGTATTTCACCATCCCTTTACCTTTCTCTTTTATGGTAGTCTTCCTTGTTTGATCTGCCATTGCCAGAGAACAAGTTGCTACACCGTAGGTCTCCTTTACCACACTGTCAAGAGCTTCTTTACCTTTGCTATTTTGGACTTCATCCTCCTCTATTAGCTGATCCTTTGGATCACTTACCTCTGAATATCTATGGCCCAGGTTGTTACCACACTGTAGGACATGGGCCTTATGTAATAACACCTCTAAGTTAAGCCCAGGGGCATTTTTTTCTGGCCCACTAAGACTCTACATAAAGCCTAGAGTAACAACATCATCTGCTACAAGCTGGTTACCTTCAATTTGAATCTGAATGGGAGTTGGCCCTGATTTGACTGACAGACATCCGCAAGCTTCCCCTCCATCTCCAGGTTGCTTCGGCAGACAGTCCAGCTGCCCTATCGACATGATGGACTCCTCAACCCTAGATGTACTTAGCTCCCTCTGTTGTCCATCAGTAGCCGTATGATCATCATTTCCTACCCTTAGCCTCTTTGCCCCCATAACATCTGTGTTATCCAGCTCACCACCACCGTGGCCCTCCACATCAGCTATATCTTCACCCTCCTTGCTTCCTACAACGGATCTCTGCTCTTGATCCTGCTCCTCACCATTTGAATTTGAATTTGCCATTTGGGGCTGTTCACTACAGCATTTACATTGTTTGTATATCACCTCTGAGATTACCACCTGTTCTTCACACACCTTGACTGGAAAATCGATTCCCTTGCATCGCAGAGTAATTGTTGTGTTTATGGACTCCATACACTTAGTAGCAATCCTCACCTTACCACTGTGAAAAGACATCATTCTGGATGTATCCCCATCAATGCCTATGACTTCTCCCCATACCCTTCCAATGCTACTAAACGTATTGCTACTCCAGAGATTCAGAGGAACACCATAACAAGTGAGCCATACAGATCTTTCTTGATCAAGGATCATCCTCTGCTGCCATACCTTGACGGATTCGCACCATGACTGACTCCACCCCTCCATCGATTTGAGCTTCTCTTTCAAGGAGCCCGCTGATTCAAACGTTAGCACAATATCTCTTCCCCCTCCATCTCTAACGTAAACATTTCCCATTCCTCTGTTCTTCAATTCCTATTTGAACTCCCCCGCACATATGTGAGATTTCAATCGAACAATCGCACTTTCATACAACCAACCATTACCCTCCTCGTAAGTTTGGATACTAATGTTTGAATTTGAAGCCAGCCCTGAACCAGTCAATATTTGTGCAAACGACTTTCCCCTTTGTATCATATTTGTAACTCTGCTGGTTGTGGCAAAATCCCGTCTTTGTAGCGTATCCGTACCTTTGCTGGTTGTGGCAAAATCCCTTCTACCAACTGATGTAATTACTGGTTTCTGGTTGTCCTCCTTTCCTTGAACAAAATCTGCTATCTTCACTTTCAAAGCTCTGTTATCGCACCAGATACCATGGGCTTTTTGGACCGCCATGTTCGTTGCCACTGGACAGGCGTATCGGACAAACCCAAATCTTGATCTAGTCACCTTTCTCCTTTTGTTAGGGATGAACACATCCTTCACTACCCCAAAATTGGTGAATATGTTATAAAGCCCTTTTGGGTCCATAGATTCTGGGAGATTATCCACAAAGATCGTGTGAATCTCATTACCGAGATCGGAATTCCTACCACCCTTACCACCATACTTGCGCAGCACCGGCTTCCACCCTCTGTCTTGCATCATCAATCCTTTAAGATTCAAGCTTCTTGAATGGTAAATACCTTGGTATTTATGATCAACAAATCAATAAAGCATCAAAGCCAGAGAGAAGAAACCAAAATAATAAAGCCTTTAAATTTGAATTTGAAGTGAACCCCCAAAAACTGCCAATTTTTTCACTAAACAAACTCACTTTGGATGAAACCCAGAAGATCAAATTCAGAGAATCGCAGAAACAGACCAATATACAAAGAGTTTTTCAAAATTATGTATCATATTGATCACCACATTTTACAAATCCACTTTTTGAATTGCATTCTGAAGCAGCTTACATTGAGAATAACATCAAAGTAAAGCAGAAAAAAGTAGAACAGAAAATTCAGTTGTATAAACTAACCACTTATATTGACATCTGCTTTTGCCACTCGGAAGACAAAACTTGAGAATGTTACCACTCGAAGTGTTTCATCAATCACCTTCAAGAGAGGCAACTTTAATTACTTTTTTTTTCTTTTTCTTTTTTAATTTTTTATTATGAATTGACTCAATAGTAATGGAAAATCCATAAAAGTGAAAAATAGAAATTAAAGTGAAAAATTCATGTACCTTAGAGAGATACTCCATTTGCCGTACGTCCTTGAGTGTCAACCCCTTCTGTGTAGGTGGCCTATTCCTAACAATTGCTTCTTGCTCTGCCTACAATGCATACATATTACCACTAAATTCAAGAAACAAATTTTGAAATTTAAAGAAAAACTTGAAACTCGATCCCAATGAATTAGTGATATGGCCGTGATAAATATCTTGCCATATTGCCAAGGAAAGACAAGAACCCATCCCACATTAGAAGTTTGTATGGGTAATCTTGGGCATATAAAAGACCACTAGTTTGCTACTAAGTAACTTGGGCTTAGGCTTTTGGATTATGTTGGTAGACCCACAAATTACTTAAGCTAACAAGTAGTTGGGGCATTACACAGTTCACATGACTCTTGCAAAAGTATAGTTTAGAGAAGTTGTTTTAATAATTGCAGTTCAAGTTGTCTATTTGACACACCAATTTTTTGTCATCCCTGCTTATAGTTTAACAATTATTCTGAAATTTTAATCAAAGCATGTCATGTTGAATTTCTATGCTCAAATTTGTATGTTATGTATCCTATTGTTGTGCACATGCATACATATTTTCATTTTCGAAGGACTAGACAAATGAATAGAATAAAGACAACAAATTTGTAGATCACAGAAATTGCCCACTATGACCGGCATATAATCTTGAATTGCAACTTACAAAAATTGATAGATTCGAAGTGTAATAATGCAATATAGAAGAATTACAATGGCTAATGTGACAGTTTTTTAGAGTACCTTAGCTCTTTGAAATACTTCCGGGTGCTCCTGTAGAAAGAGGGTTGCCCACATTGTAATGTGGCCGGAAGATTCATGACCAGCATTTAGATACATCACTAGAGTATCAATGATGTCCTCATCACTCAATCTTCTTCCATTCTCGTCTTCAATATCCATCATAGCATCCATCATATCTTTCTTCGGTGTTGGTGCGTTGTTCTTTCTCTGCTCCCTTCGATCATCCACTATGGATTGAAAAATAGCCACAAGATTTTTTCGCGCCTGCAATTTAGTTAACCTGCTTAACTAGATCCCAAAATCTAAAAAACCATTTCTAATTGATAAACAAGATTGATATTCAAAGATGTATTTAGTTTACTTGGTTTCAAAATTATGTAGTTTTAACATATTTCTTCATGGAAACATGCTTAGAAAGTTGTTTTTGAAAGGAAAAAATTGTACACTTTGTGTCATTTTGACAATTTAACCCAAATATTTAGTAGCTCTACTATGCCAAAGAAACTCATGGACCACTTTTAGCTAACAAAAAACAAGTACCATTCATGGTTTTGTAGCTTATGTGATTCAAACAAAAAATTCACATTTTTATGGTAACATTAGAAAATACTTCATGAAACATGCCATAAGACTCTTTGTCCCGAAATCCTTCTATTCGTTTGTGCCAATGTGCTCTCGATCATATGGTCATGTCTCAAAATTCTCATCACGTCACCTTTCTCCTTTTGTTAGGGATGAACACATCCTTCACTACCCCAAAATTGGTGAATATGTTATAAAGCCCTTTTGGGTCCATAGATTCTGGGAGATTATCCACAAAAATCGTATGAATCTCATTACCCAGATCTAAATTCCTACCTCCCGTACCACCATGCTTACGCAGAACCGGTATCCACCCTTTGTCTTTCATTTTTTTATTATGTCTGTAATCCTAATAAATTAACAAAAAGACTATGTGACAACTTATTTAACAAAACAAATTCAATTTTTTTGAGAAAATATAGAAATTTGCACCAAACTATTTTGCAACTCATTTATTAAATCTTTTCAGATAATAATCTAAAAAGATAATAAAAACCAACTTATAAATGACCCAAACGGAGTCGTTATACAGTGAAGTCATGTAAAATATTGATTTCCAAACTAATCGACAGTTTATTCTATAAGATTGTCGATCCAGCTTCTTTCTGAAAGTATGGTCTATTATGATTTAGCCCATCAACCAAACCACACAAGTTTGTTCTTTTAGACTTGGGCCAAAAAATGCCTACGCGTCATTTATTGTTAGTCCATCTTGAACAACATCCACATCCGATATGGATGCCAAAATTTCATTATCATTCATATTTTTATTTTTATTATTAAGGATTATTATCTTTGAATGTATCTAAATGTGTATGATTCCGTTTGAATATGCCAAAATGTATTGCTCATACAATTAATAAGATTACAAAATATGTTTGTTAAATTTCATGAATATTTATCATTTTTTTGTTATTTATATGGTGCTAGCTAGGAGCTTTAGCACCATATAATTAACAGTGATGTAACATGTAACAATTAGTGTACTAATTAGTGTTAATATATTAGTTATGACATTATTATTGACTCAACTCATTAAACAAATTATAAATATCAAAAACTTCTTAAATTATGTCACATCATCAATTGATACATTAGTTAGTAGACTAATTAATGCATATAGTATTTTTCTATAATTAATTTTCCATCTAATGCCACCTTAATTAGTTCACATGGTGCCTATCAAATGGAGACACGGGGTCACTGCTGTGACCCTCGGCTGTGCCTAAAACGGCACAGCTTCACCCTCTTTTTTTTTCTTCTTTTCTTCATATTCTCACTATGTTTTTTGGCATAATAAATTACACTTTGCCCTAGACTCTAAACCCTAAATCTTAAACCCTAACATAAAATAAAAAAATTTAATAATTAAATCCTAAACCCTAAACCCTAAA